GGGAAATGAAAATGGAGTAGATTGTCCGTTTAAGAAGAAGACTCAACCCAAAATTAGTACATAAAAAATTATACTATGAAGTATAATATTCATAAAGATCCTTTTATCTATCTATAAATCTATAAATATTACTAAAGTAATATATAACTGCTAATGTCATCACTATCTATGTGTCACTCTTTTATAATTTTTTTCCCCGCCTAATATAGTGATGATTTTTTTTAACTATTCTATTGTAACATGAAAATTTTATTGTACACCTGGGTGTAGCATGGTACACCCGGTCAAAATACAAAAGTTATAAAAACGCGGAAAAAACTTTGTGTACAAATACAAAGTACACGAGAAATAAAAATCAAAATGATTGTCTCCTTGGTTTAAGGGATAAATTTGTTATTTGTACTAGGTTAGATCTCATGTCATGCACAGTTTTTACTATTTGCTACGGAGTCTCAATTTAAAATTATATTTAAATATAAAATATTTTGGTGGAAAATCTTTTTTTTTTCCGCAAATCAAGCAACTTAAAATTTTATACTCCATATTTTATCTTTCATGACTACATAATATGACATATATTTTTATTAAATTTTTCTGCTATTTTGAACCATGATGTCATATTTATTTGACAATTTTTCATTCACCAATTATGTTAGGTTGAAAGATATATATTTATGATTTATACCTTTTTTATTATAAATAATCATGATACATTTAAAAGTAATTACTTATATAGAATTTATATAAGGATATGAGATATTTAACTTGGTAAATATATTATTTTACTATTATATTCCTAAATTTTGGAAGAAAATATTTTTTGTATATTCACTACGGAGTATAAATTTTTTAAAGTTTTATTTTTTTATGAAAAAAAAAACTAAAGACACACCAGAAGATAACACGTGACATTGCTGGTGTGCCTTTTACTATTTAGTTATTGATTGATTTCTTGATTTATGGAATTGATTTATTATTTGCATTCCATATTACTTTTGATAAACAATTTTTTTTTAAGAGAGAGAAGTTGATTTTATAGAGAGAAATGGTAAATTTTAAATTTCGAAGTTTAATGTTATTACGAAGTTGATTTTATCGTTTCGATGGTGAATGATTTAATTGAAAGATGTAATTGACAAATTCGTTGTTGAAGATGATGTTTTTCATATTCTAATGAATGTTATTTTATCATTTTATAAGTGCAATGAAATATGTGTTTTTTGAATTTGATCAATATTTTCTTTGAGTCTAAATTATACTTTGAGTCTAAATTATATGTTTGTTATATTACAAACAATGTTCTTTGAGACATATGAATTAATCGTGTTCTTTGGATATATAATACGAATTATGTTCTTTAAACTTATATAATATGTTCTTATATTTTGAATTATATCTGTGTGAAATTAATTTTAGATAGAGAAATTTTCGATATGAATATTTTGAAATGATTTGGCATTAAATTATGGGTAAAACTCGATTAATAATTATCTTTTACCTTTTTTAAAAAAATGTTCCTTACAAATTACTGTGTTCTTTATATTTCAGTGATATGTTTTTTTAATAAATTCATTATGTTTTTTATAATTATATATTATATTCATTTTGCTTTAATCTGGGTGTACGAACCACCAATTGTTGTAACATTGCCCTAAAATTTATAAAGCTTCAACCATACGAATACCACTTTATCATCTTATCATAGGAAATTAAAACAATTTTGAGTGTCACAATAATAAATGACCTCCTACCCCAATCCTTCCCAATATCGTTTCAATTTTCCTTGGATAACAAAGATTTTCATTATCTAATCTCATTTCCTTAAATTTTACTATGTATTTCAATCCGCTTCATTTACTCAATTCTTAGCCTTATTTATTTATATCATCCTTTTCCCTTAAGTGTGTAATTCATTATTTATGTTAAAATCGTGCATCACACGTGGCTAACCTAGTTTACATACATAGTAATTCCCATTTTGTGATTTAAGTGTTGTATCACATGTTAAGAATCTTGAGATAATGGGTTCCCTCCTCTTGTAATGTTGAATTGTTGACTAACAATATTTTTAATAACAATACAATAATGTATATCAAAACTATGTTAGAGATGATTCTAACAAGTATAGGTTAAAGATAATAACAAATTCAAATTGAGATATATTGGACTATTAGTTACAATAAAAGGAGCTAGCACGAAGGCTTTGTAGTGTTCTCTCCAATTTTATTTTGCTAAATTGAAATTAATTTCACTAATTTTTACTGACTTATTACTCCCTTTGTCCTGTAATTAGATACTTACTTCTAAAATTACTGTCGGGATTTAGATACTCTAAGCGGAATTTCATGAATCATATTCATAAGCATCTAATAACCAAGATCATTGCATAACACATAAAGAAAAAGTAATTATACCTTTGAAGCATGATTCCACATATGATCGAACAAGAACAAGGTAGACAAAGAACCTCAAGCATGATTCCTCTACTTGGTTAACGAGCTCGGATTAAACCTTCACTACTGCTAGTTAGTCGTGACTCAAAGCTTCAATCAACCTTCTACGGAGAGGAGAGGAACGAACTAGTCAAGAACCACCACCACAAAGCACCACGCGCCACCTAGGGGTGGTGGCAGTGTGTATGGATAGAGGGGGGTAGGGCGTGCGTGAGGAGAGAGAGCTTCAGGTTTTTGGGATTGGTTACCTTGATGTCCAATTTACTGTAAGTTAATTGTGACTTAATTGCAACCCTAGCCACGGATCTTATTTATGATCACATCTCTAAATAAGAGTCGATGGCTAGCCCAAAATCCTAACTCTAACATAACTACTCTAGCCCAATCTTATTCATGGTTAGTCATATCCACATTAATTGGCCTCTAACTTGTTTAACCCAATACTCTTGTTGTGTGACCTCATAGGATCCATTCTAAAAGGCTTTGGACTATTTGACTAGCCCAAAGATCATTTACCATAATCTAGCAATAGACAATGATGACCCAAAAGAATAAACTTATTGTCTCCATAATAGTGATCCTTGATATATCTAGTAATTGCACTTATCGAAGACATAATTCCTTCAATTACACGGGAATTAAGAAATTTAGAGATTCCTTAAAACCCATTATTTGAAAGTACAAAGTGCATGTGAGATTAGAGAGAGATAGAGAGAGAAAAAAAGTACTCCCTCCGTCCATTAATAAGATGCCTACTTTTAAAATTATACTGGAAATTTGGAATTAAGGAACTTAGAGATTGATATGTCCATTTTATATAATATTTTACCCCCGTCCCTTGGTCATAATTAGTAGTGTTTTTGGCTATTTGGAGCCACTTTTATTACTAATTGGTGTTTTCTAGTGTTTTCGTAGATTTGGTTGACTTTTGTAGGGATTTGCACTTTCGGAGCATTTTTCCGGGATTTTATGGAGCAACTACGAGCATTGGAGATGGACGACCATCCTTCATAGCCCAGGGCCAATTAGAGCCATTTAACCGGTGATTAAGGGCTTAGCATTTGAGATTCCGAGGCAATTGGACCGAGTATTCAAGACCTAAGGGGGATATTTGGTTTGGGCCGGAATTACGAGCCCAAACGGGTAGTCCATTGTAGCCCAAGTGGCCTTGCCCGACCAAAGGAGCTCCCGCCTTCGGGTGCGCTCGGCCGGGCGGGGGGAAGCGAAGCTGGCGCCCGAACTCGAGCCCGGACGGGCGCGAAAGACGTACCTCAGAGTGAAAAGGCGGGCCCGATCAGGCGGTGCCTCGCCTGATTGTGCGCAGGAGATAATTAACGTCGTTTAAGTTTGTTTTAGTTTAGGATTCTTGCATAATATAAATACTTTTCCGTTAAGCAAGTTGATCATCTTTTTACTCCTTCCTTAATTCTTCTCTTAGATTCTCTCTCTCTAATTAGCTTTTAGATTAGTTTCTCTCTCTACAACTTTGTTCTTTACTCAATCCTTAATTCAGATTATTTGGTAACGATTTCTTCTACTTTAATCTCAGTTATTTACTTTAATTCTTTCATCATGTCTTATTTTATTGCTTTGATTAGTTTAGATTTAATTATGTATGAGTAGTTTTATTTCTAGGGTTTGTGGGGATCCATAAATAATATGAAGGGGTAATTTATTGTTGTTGATTATCAATGCTAGATTAATTTCCTATTGAATGATATAATGCTCTGTGACTAGATTAGGCCTAATCTTTTATGCATGAGTTTGACAATATTGGTTCGAGATTCGAGAGATGAGAATTGATGTTTAGGTCTAGTTTCAATAGGCACGTTAAATGGTTAAGTCGAGATTCGAGAGATGAGATTTAATACCGGTAAATTAATTATGTGATTGTAATACGTAGCGAAAGCCCTTTATGATCTGATTAATTTATGCATTGATGATTGATTATTATGTTTTACCCTGGAATGTTATTTATTGGTGAACCTATGCCCTAGGCCTTTATTCATTGTTTTCTCTTTACTCTTAATCTCCGTAGTTTAGTTTTATATCCATATTATTAAATTGTTACTTGATAATTTAGATTGCTTTAATTAATTAGGAATAGAAAGACCAGTTTCCCTGTGGATTCGACCCTACTTCTCTATCTGCATTAGTTAGAGAATTTAGGAATTACTAATATAGTGTTGGAAAATGATGTCAAAGGTACAAAATAATAGTACTCTGTAGTAGAAGAAATTGATGACAACTCATCAAAAAGAGGAAATAATGTCAAAAACTACATTCTTAAAATAGAAATAAACATCTAATTTTGAAACCCCAAAAAAGAAAAGTAGACATCTAATATTCTAATTTAAGGGACGATGGAGTACTATTATTAAACTTAATTTTTTTTTTTGAAAGCCATTGTTAAACTTAATTTTGCATATCAAAACATTTTGTTTTTATTAAAAGTAACATTTATTTTTTTATTAAATTTAAATTATTTATTATTATCTAAATTGATTTTTGTTTCCAAATAATTGTGTAGTAAAAAAAATTAAATGTCACGTCCCGTGGGACTCGAACCCACAATCATCTGATTAGAAGTCAGTCGCCTTATCCATTAGGCCACGGGCGCTAAGTTCTACCACTTTCAAAAAGTAAATGATAACGGTTTTTTATGTGCTTAAATCACATGGCTTAGACCGAGTTCATCGGGCTTGAGTTTTCTTCTGGCAAAGCCCAAAACAATTAGTGAATTCCATAGCAAAATGCCATATAATATATAACCATCCATAATAAATCGATCCTCTTCACCAAAAAAATAATAAATTGATTCTAATTAAGTAACATCAATTCATTATTGAAGTTGCTATTGGATAGGCATCAATAATTTACCCATTTAAAGTAAGTAAAGATATTTTAGGTGAAAATGTGTTTTGGGATCCATTCATGCATAAATTCATTAATGGTGTAGTAAAAAGAGCAGAACGAAAGGAAGTATATGAGTTTGACAAACTACATGAATGTCGATTACACTATGGTAGATCTTCTTTTTCTTTCTTTTCTCAAAAATCGGAAAATCCATTACATCACTAATTTATAACAAATGCAAAATATTTAATTATATTTCCATGAAGATTGGTATTGTACATTTAAAAATGTAAAATTTCTATTCATTCCCCATTCTTGCATATAAGGTCTCACAACTCTCACTCAATAATTACAAAACAAGCACTCTTTAGAGTCTGTTCTCATCGAATGAACTCAGCTGAACTGAATTGAACTAAACTGAGCTGAGCTGAAAATAAACGTATTAGAACAGACCCTTAAGGCTTGTTCTCATTGACTGAACTCAGCTGAACTGAACTGAACTGAACTGAATTGAAGTGAAATGAATATTTTATAAGAGAAGAAAATTAGGAGGTAAATTAAAGTGAACTGAACTGAATTTCAACGTATGAAAACAGACCCTTAATCAATAGTATTTTTTTTCGTATTTATTTTTTCAAATAAGGGGAGGCATACGGAACGCATTTAAAAAAAACAGCGTGACATGTCGATGTTGGTCGTCAAGGATCCACATCACCTCACCACCCCATCTCAAATGGACCCACTCTTCTTATATTTATGGAAATCCACGCGTCATCAATTTCTTCCCTTTCAACCTTCTTCTTCTTTCACCATCTTCTCTCTCATCTTGTCCTTTAAACTTTTATTTTCTCCCTATATTCGAAAAAACAAACTTATTACTACGAGTAGGATTTTTTTTATTATCATTTTTACATCAAAATAAATCAAATAAAAATGATTAGAATGTTCAAATAATTTCTGCCATTGCTTGTTCTTCTCAACATTCCTCATTCAATAAAAGTATAAAACCCCACTTCATTTTTCCATTTTTTGTCGTTGCTGTAAAGTTCAACTCAACTTCCTCCCCACTAAACTCTCTTCTTCTTCTTCTTCCCTTTTTTTTTTGGAAAAAAAAATTAAATAAAAATGAAAATATACTTTACGTTTGGAAGGGGGACCCCGAGTTGACTCAGTAGTGTGATGTTTGTTGGCTCAGACATTAAAGGAAGTATTAATAAATAGCATCTTTGTTTAATTTTGTAATTAAATTCCAAAAATACATTCCAAATTCATTCGTATTGATTTGGGGTTTTGGTAGTTTTTTTTTTTCTTCAAATGTGGGTCTTTTTTTGGTTGGTTGAATAATACTTGATGTTTTGGTGTTAGAGAGAGAGAGAGAAAATAAGGGTTGATTTTTGGGTTTTTGTGTTGAAGAATGGCTGAATTTCAACGTGAAGGCAGTGATTGGTACTTTCTCTTTTCTCTTTCTTCATTTTGTTTTTGTTTTGGTTCATTCAATTTGGTTTCTTTTCCCTTATAATTTGTTGGATTAAGTTTTGGTTATTTTTGGGTTGAAATGATGGGTTTAACTTTGGAAGTTTAGGATTTAGCTTGAAATATCTGTATTGGATACTTGTAATTGATACGAGTATCAAATTTATTACCGCATACTAAACGGGTCGATATTTAATTACTGGTAGTATATACTTTGTATTTAAGCCATGTTATTTTTTGGAATCATGGTATTGAAGTTTTAAGATTGTCTGAATTGGTGTTTGCGTGATTAAGAAAATATGATTACAATGTTTTTTTTTTTTTTTGGGTGGCGTAAATATTGGATATTTTAGGTGTATATTAGTCATTTATATTTAATGTGTGATTTTGTAATGTTTTTTCATGATTATGACAGGTTCTGCAATGCAGGTTTGCCAAGCGATATTACTGTCTTTGTGGAAGGAGTAAATTTTCATTTGCACAAGGTAATCACTTCTCTTATCATTTCTGTCTATATTTGCTAAAGATTGGATTTGTACTAGAGCTTTGTTACTTGGACTCGGGTACTCAAGTCGGACATGGGAATTTATCCAATTGCCTGTATGTCCGTTTGTGAAAATTTTGCATAACTTTGGCTCAAAATGAAGTGTTGAACTAGTTGAAGTGTCCATACTCATGTCAATGTTTCGAGGATTGTGTATTGGTGTGAAATTAAGAGTCCAATGGAGTGTTGATTCTCCTATTTTTGTTCAATTCATATGAATGTGTGTTATTTTTAGGAGTCTATGTGTAGTTGTGCACATTATAGTCGTTTCGAAGGGTGTTCCAATGAGTCGGCCTACCTATATACTTAATACTAATGTTGTTAAAGCGAAATCAGGTTTGGGTCATTTGAGTGTAATAAGAAATGTAGTTACGAGCAATGATGCCTTAAGGACATATGTAGGGCCTGTTGTAGTTCTGAAATTTATTGGCAGCTTTCTTCATGTGAGGGTTGCTTGAAGTTCTTTCGAAGTCTTCAGTTTGCAACCTACAACTAATCATTTTGTCCTGCTTCTTGCTTTGTTTGCTTTATTGAGCTTGCTTTATTTTGAAGAATTCTCTTTACTATTAACTAATATGGATAAACAAATGATTACCATAAGGCTGGAAATTGTTCTATTTAATTCACATATTGTGATATATAACTGAGTAGATTATTCTTTATGGGATTAGCTTCACTATGGATTGTCAGAGCAATAGGTTCTTGCTGTTAATTACTTTCCTGTTTCCCAAGCATAACAAGAGGGGTTCATTTTTGTAAGTCTTTTTTCTTTAAAAGAAGAAAGTACTATGGTGGCTGCTTTTTCTTCAAATGTTTTCAATCGCTTTACATTATTCTTATGTTCCATGGAAAACAAAGAATCTCCTAACAGCCATATGCAATTTTGTCTGATGAAAAACTACATAAGAAAAATTAAAGGTACTGCAGGAGTTCAGTTGAATGTTTCTTTCAAGTTTTAAAAAACTTTTTCTTCTTGTTTTTCCCGTGTAAATTTGCATAATTTTTTCCTGAAGAGCAAGGCCTTGAATTAGAAAAGAATTGCAAGAGAAGATTCTGTGTAATTCACATTGTAGTATTTCTAATTTCTATCATCTAAACTTGTTGAATTAGAACAAAAAAATAACAGGAAGGCAACGCCTTAAATTTTTCTAATTCAAGGGGTCTTTGTTTTAGTGGGTAACTGAGACAGAAGACTGAGAAGAGGGATAATTGCATATTATATGGGAAATTTTAGTGTAGAACTTTGTAAATCAATTGGCAAGTAACTTCTGAAGCTATATCTGTCTAGTAAGATATACTAAAAATGAAACCACTTTAGAAACCTCAGCCATCCACAATGGGAAAAGTCATAAGAATTTTGGATGCTACAAAACTGATCATGAGTTTAGGTTAGTCTCCTACTTATGTTTGCATCAATGTCCTGCATATTCTCTACATTTTCTGTCAGTACTATTGATTTGATACTTTGATAGTGAGTTAACAAAAATTGTCACTTTGTTGAAATCTTAGCTTGTTTTCTGATACATTTGACTGCTTTATTGTTTTCATTCTGTCATGGCTGCCAAGACGGTGAATTCGTTGCTCTTATTGTACCTTTGAGTTAATAATTTGTTTTATTCTCAGTTTCCTCTTGTATCAAGATGTGGGAAATTGGATAAAGAATTTGAAGCATCACAAGATATAAACAAAGAATCATCCACCATGTTACTGGAAGGATTCCCGGGGGGGCCCGATACTTTTCTCATAGCTGCTAAATTCTGCTATGGACTTCGTATTGATTTGACTCCAAGGAATATTATGATAATCTATTGCGCTGCAGACTATCTAGAGATGACAGATCAATATGGCTCGGATAATTTGTTGTCTTGGAGTGACAGCTTTTTCCATAAGAACATACTTCGTAATTGGAAGGACTGTATTGTCACCCTTCAGAGTGCTGAACCTGTTATACCATTGGCAGAGAAGCTTCAGCTAATTGACAAATGCTTGAATGCTGTATCCACAATGGTTTGCACAGATCCAAGTTTGTTTGGATGGCCTATGATGATGTATGGTAGCCTACAAAGCCCGGGTGGGAGCATACTGTGGAACGGAATTAACACTGGAGCAAGAATTAGAAGTGCAGAGTCTGATTGGTGGTACGAAGATATATCATATCTTTGCATTGATCTATTTGAAAAACTTATTAAGACAATGCAAGCGAGAGGTATACGACCTGAAAATATTGCGGGTGCTATAATGTACTATACTAGGAAATTCCTACCAGGCCTTGGAAGATGGCAGGGTGGGCATGTTGGTAAAACAAGAACAGTTGCAAGTTTTAGCTTGACTCCTGTAACTGTTGATCAGAAGGTTCTGTTGGAAACTATAGCAAAGTTACTCCCAGAAAAGAAGAGCAAATCTTATTGTCGCTTCTTACTAGGAATTCTTCGTACCGCTTTGATTTTGGATGTTAGTGAAGAATGCAAGGACTATTTGGAGAAAAGAGTTGGAATGCAACTTGATCTAGCAACATTAGATGGTCTACTGATTCCTACTTACTCAGACTCTGATACCTTGTACGACACAGATTGTGTTCAGAGGATTATCCAGCATTTTGTATCAACAGAGCCAAAAGTTCCAGCCTTTTCCCCTTGCTCACCAGATATAGAAACATCACTGTCATCAGAATCATTAAGGAAAGTAGCAAAGTTGGTGGATGGCTATGTTGCAGAGGTTGCTTCTGATGTGAACTTAAAACCAGACAAGATACGTGCCCTTGTGGAGGCTCTTCCAGAAGATTGTCGACCTTTCCATGATGGCCTATACAGAGCTCTTGACATATATTTCAAGGTTTGTCTCTTAATTGAGGTTTAATGCTCTGTCATAAACTGCTTTATCACATCTGTTCAACCATTTTGCACGTTTATAGGGATGTAGTCAATCATTACGAAACTATCGAGGTCCTAAGATTTTTATGAGTATACATACTTGTATTACAGTTCCATTCACTGTAGGAATTCCTGTAACCCAATACGTGATTGTGGCACTCATTTATACGGTCAACATAGCTTAGTATCATGTTAGGAGTGTAAGTGCTGCTCTTATAATATCCCCTTCCCATAAGATTTGCTTATCCTCTATTGCCTTGGTTTATGTTATGGAAATTTATTAATTATTATCGTATAATGCAGGATCATCCTTGGCTTTCTGACAAAGAGAAAGAACAACTTTGCAACATGATTGACTACCAAAGACTCTCCATTGATGCGTGCACTCATGCATCTCAAAATGAAAGACTTCCCCTTAGGGTTGTTCTTCAGGTCCTTTTCTTTGAGCAGATGCATCTACGAACTGCTATTGCTGGTTGTCTCCATGTTGACGACCCTGAAAATGGCCCAACCAATCTTGATACTGCCCAAAATGCATTGGTGGGCCAGATAATTCAGAGAGATGGGTGGGTTTCTGTTGTGCGTGAAAACCATGGTCTTAAAGGAGATATGGACAGGATGAGATGTAGGGTTCAGGAGCTGGAAGAGGAATTCAGTAAAATAAAGCAGAAGATGAGAAAAGTGAGTAAATCACATAGTTCACTTAGCTCTCCCCGCTTAGTTGCTTGGAGAATTGGTTGCAAGCTACTCCCTCGATCTTCAAATGCTCAAAGAGATGTGGTTGAAGTTGCTGAACCCAGTCCAAGGGCATCAGTTGACCAACCTAACACTTCCCGATCTTTGAGGCATCGTAAAAGTCTCTCTTTGTTTCAGTGAAAACTAATAGAGGCATTACTGGTTGACAAAGTCAGGTGGAAAGATTATATTAACAAGAACATTTGGAATTCTTATGGAGGAAAGCTTGGTTTATCGGTGATGACTCAAGTATGGGAAACATAAGATTTTTTGCCTATTTCAATCAAACTACAGTTCTCATGCAAAAGATGCATTGTGGGAATGCCAAAGCTTTGTGCTTGCTTCTAAAGAGGACTGGATCAAAAATGGAGGTTTTTTGTTTTGTGGCTGGCTTTTGGGTTTGGATTTGAGCGGAATTATTGGCGTCGTAAGCCTTCAATTCCACTTAATTCCATTTCCAGCAGGAATGAAGTTATATTCGAATATGACCTGTTGCGTGAATTTTTGAAGGTGTTGAAATGTGACTTGGGAGGTTTTTGGTTTTACATAGGAGCTCATGAACTAAAGCATTTTGAAAAACAGATACACATTTTTTCGTTGGTGTGATTCATGTGAATATATGCTCTCATGTACAGAACAATAGCACATAGGTATTTTACTTGTTCATGAGATAATAAGTTCTATAGGAAAGCTCTTGTTCTTGCATTTTGCATCTTTCCTGATGAACTAACTATGCCAGTGTTAGTACTATAGTAATTTTCAGTTGGAATTAGTAACCAAACAATATTATTATGCGCATTTTATATGCTAGATTCGCTGGATTTGGGTGGCTTGCATATCTGTGGCATCTTAAAGAGTTAAAAGTATTTGCCCTCTCCACCAAGGGCACCAACTAGAATTTAAAGCTTTGTTTTTTGGTACTTTTTTTAGTACCAAATAATTTGATTTTGGTACAAGAATGGCGCCTATCCCTACTTTTCATGCATTATTATCAATATATATATACTCACTTATTAAATGTTTACCGATAGAAAGTCTTTAATCAGTGAAAGGAGAAAGTGAAGGAGAAGGAGTAAAGAGGATGAGTGAAATTGTAGTATGTTATTATTATTGCCTCATATGACACCCTATATATATAGCTAATACTTCTATACTAAGAGTACAATTCAATCATGCTCATATATTGCCATATAAGTTCACAAGGGTTGGACTTATATGTGCATTGCAACATCAAATCAATGATTGGCATTCACATTGTCTTCTAACACTCCCCCTTGAATGCCCATACTTATACATAAAAAAAAAAAAAAAATATTTGTTGCCTTATTAAAAACCTTGCTAGGTAAAACCCTTTTGGGATAAAAACCATAACTAGGGAAAAAGAGTACAACAATATAGTATTATATGCTTTAGTATACTGCCTCGTTAAAAACCTTGTCAGGAAAAACCTAGTGGGATAAAAACCTGATCGAAGGGAAAAAGAGTGCAGTACATATAATACTCCCCCTGATTTCAGCATAGTTCACGGAGATGTCGCATCCCGATTTTGTGAACTAACTGCTCAAATTTCTTCGAAGGAAGTGATTTGGTGAACAGGTCGGCAAGATTGTCACAAGACTGAATTTGCTGGATATTTATTTCCTCGTCCTTTTGCAGATCATGTGTGAAGAACAATTTTGGGGCAATATGTTTTGTTTTATCTCCCTTAATATATCCTTCAGTCACTTGAGCAACGCATGTTGTATTGTCCTCAAATATGATGGTTGGGTCTTCTGCTATTGCGTTCATTCCACACTCCTTTTGGATATTACCGATCATCGACCTCAGCCATACACATTCTCGTCCTGCTTCATAGAGGGCTATCAATTCTGCATGATTTGAGGATGTCGCGGTTAATGTCTGCTTTGTTGATTTCCATGATATTGCAGTGCCGCCATAAGTGAACACATATCCATTTTGTGACTTGGCATTTTGAGGATCCGATAAGTATCCAGCATCTGCGTACCCAATGAGAGCAACATCTTGTTTTGGTTGATAATTAAACCAAGGTCTTGTGTCCCTCGTAGGTACCGGAGTAAGTGTCGAACTCCCTTCCAATGCCTATATGTTGGTGCATTGTTGTGCCTGGCTAGCAAGTTGACAGAGAAAGCTATGTCGGGTCTAGTATTGTTAGCTAAGTACATTAAGGCTCCAATTGTACTTAAGTATGGTACTTCTGGACCCAGAATCTCTTCATTTTCTTTTCGTGGTCTGAATGGATCATTTTTCATATTCAAAAAACGAACAACCATTGGGAAGTTGGTTGGAGTTGCTTTGTCCATGAAGAATCTTTTCAAAACTCTTTCTGTATAGCTTGATTGATGGACAAAAATACCATGACTCAAGTGCTCAATTTGCAGTCGAAGGCAAAATTTAGTTTTCCCAAGGTCTTTCATCTCAAATTATTTCATCAAGTATTTTGCAGTTTTCTCGAGTTCATTTGGGGTTCCGATGATATTTAAATCATCAACATAAACTGCAATGATAGCGAATCCTGATTGTGATCGCTTTATGAAAACACAGGGACTAACTTGGTTGTTTTTGAATCCTTCTCTCATAAGGTATTCACTCAGACGGTTATACCACATCCTTCCAGATTGTTTTAATCCATAAAGTGACCTTTTTAGTTTTATGAAAAGCAATAATTGTTTAGGCTTGTGGTTTTCTGGTAGTTTTAGTCCTTCGGGGACTTTCATGTAAATGTCCGTATCGAGTGACCCATACAAATACGCAGTCACTACATCCATTAATCGCATTTGCAGTCCTTTTGTGAATGTCAAACTTACCAGAAATCTTAATGTGGTTGCATCAACCACTGGAGAATATATATGTTTCTTCATAATCAATCCCTGGAATCTGAGAAAATCCTTGGGCTACAAGTCTTGCCTTGTATCTAACTATTTCATTTTTCTCATTACGTTTTCTCACAAATACCCATTTGTATCCAACAGGTTTTACACCTGCTGGTGTAAGGGTTATATTTCCAAAAACTTCTCGTTTTTCAAGTGACTTTAACTCAGCCAGCATTGCCTCCTTCCACTTTGGCCAATCACTCCTACGTCGACATTCTTCTACCGTTCTTGGTTCAACATCATTTTCATCAGACACAATGTCGATTGCGGTGGAATTTGCAAATGTTTCATCCGCGATAACATCTTTCCTATTCCATTGAGTCTTGGTAGAGACGTATTTCATTGAAATCTCATTGTTATTGATGTTTTGAACATCTTGTTCATTTCCCGTAGGGTTGTCTTCTTGTTCGTGCCCTATTGGATTATCATCATTTTCTTTACTTTCATCCACATTTGGTCTTTCTTGACCTTCTGACGGGAGAACATCATTAGTCCCATTTTCTATTCCATCCAATCTTTTCAATTTTCTTGGCTTGAAATCTTTTGAACCAAGTGGTCTACCACGTTTTCTGCGTGCTTGAGATTCACTTTCTATGGCCTTATTACCAGTTGGAATTTCGATACGTGCAGGGGAATTTTCTGCTGGTATATGTGATTTTGTCACCTTCTTTGTGTCTACAAATGCATCAGGCAATTGATTTGCAACACTTTGTAAATGAAAAATTTTCTTGACTTCTTGTTCACACATATTTGTTCGTGGGTCTAACATCAACAGTTGTGTTGCATTCCAAATAAGTTCTGTTTCTTTCTCACGTGGGTCCACTTTGTCTCCCCCTAAGGCTGGGAATACTGTTTCATTAAAGTGACAGTCCGCAAATCTAGTCGTAAATAAGTCACCAGTCAATGGTTCAAGATATTTAATTATAGAAGGGGATTCAAACCCGACATAAATTCTCAGTCTTCTTTGTGGACCCATTTTTGTTCGTTGGGGTGGAGCAATGGGAACATATACAACACAACCAAAGATTTTTAGATGTGAGATACTTGGTTCTCGACCACAAACAAGTTGTAGTGGTGAGAATTTATGATAAGCTGTAGGTCTCAATCTAATTAGTGCTGCTGCATGTATTATAGCATGTCCCCAAGCAGATGATGGCAATTTTGACCTCATTAATAATGGCCTTGCAATCAATTGTAATCTCTTAATTAGTGATTCAGCTAGACCATTTTGTGTATGAACATGAGCTACTAGGTGTTCAACATCATATCAATTCCAATTGACATACAATAATCATTAAATGTTTGGGATGTGAATTCCCCGGCATTGTCAAGCCTTATTTTCTGTATTGTATGATCTGGGAACTGTGCTCTTAATTTGATAGTTTGGGCAAGTAATTTTGCAAAGACAACATTTCTACTTGAAAATAGACTAACATGTGACCATCGTGTAGAAGCATCAATTAAAACCATGAAATATAGAAATGGTCCACATGCTGGATTAATTGGCCCACACATATCTCCCTGAATTCTTTCCAAGAATTTTGGAGATTCAGTAGCAATTTTGTTCATAGATGACCTTATTATTAATTTTCCAAGTGAACATGCAGAGCATGTCAATTCATCTGATCGAGGAATTTTGACATTTCTTATTGAATGTGCTATTATTCTTTGCATCATCCCAGTTGCTGAATGCCCCAAACGATCATGCCATAAAATAATCAAATTTTTGTCATCTAAGTTCTGGTTAGATACCATATTAATTTTCACGGGTCGTATATTTATACGATATAACCCCGAAGAGTATGCTGGCAATTTCTCATATATATGTTTCTTGCCATGTTTTTCTGCCGTGAGGCATATATACTCCCTTTGATCTGTCATCATTGTTTCTATATGATAGCCATTTTGGCGTACATCTTTAAAGCTTATGAGATTTCTTCGAGATTTACTCGAATATAAAGCATTATTTATTATTAATTTTGTTCCATTTGGAAGCATTATACAAGCCTTTCCAGATCCTTCAATTAATTTAGCTGACCCAAAAATGGTGTTTACATTTGCTTGAAACAACTTTAGTTGTGAAAAATATTTTCTATCCTTTAAGATAGTATGTGTTGTTCCACTGCCCAAAAGGCATTGATATTCGGAACTAACTTCAGGCAGATCCATATCTTCATAAAATAAATTTGAGATTAGTTTAGAATAATATCATACAAACTTTTATTGATGATAGAGATTTAAAGTACATGTCTAGAAATTTAAAATACAGGATACTAAGAAAATACATTAAAACATAGCATATGTTACATTAGTAGATGGGAAACCTAAGCATTGTTGTTTTCTCCAAGAATGAAATCATTTCCAATTTCAGCATTATCCATGAAATAATCAGACACATCAAGGCTATGACAAGGAGCATTTTCCTCGTTAACATAATTTGCTTCTGCATTTTTCTCTTTGCCTTTTACAGAAGCTTGGTAAAGGTCTACCAAATGTTTGGCCGTACGACAAGTACGTCCCCAATGTCTTGTCATGCCACATCTGTAACATGTGTCTTTTCCTTTCGAAGGATTTTGTTTGTGGCTTCCAGACGACTGTCCCTTCTGTTTTTCAAAATTTTTGAAATTACTGTTTCTGTGAAAATTGTTTCTACCACGACCACGGCCGCGTCCGTGATAATTTCCACGGCCTCTTCCACGGCCATTGTAATTTCCACGTCCACCTCTTCGTGTAGCATTTGACTCGGGTGGATAAGAATTTGTTGCATTTGCCTCATGATGAGTAGCCAAAGATCCAGTTGGTCTCAGGTTATGATTTTTCAACAGAAGTTCACTATTTTTTTCTGCAACAAGCAATACACTCATTAATTCATTGAACTTTTTAAAACCTCTTTCATGATACTGTTCTTGCAACAGTATGTTACTTGCATGAAAGGTAGTGAGTGTTTTTTCAATCATTTGTTCATCCGTAACTGGATGATCACAGTATCTCAATATAGACACTATCTCATGTATGGTTGAATTATAATCAATTACAGATTTGAAATCCTGGAACCGTAAATTTGTCCAGTCAAATAATGCCTTAGGAAGGAGCACCCTTTTGTAGTGTCCAAATATTTCATTAAGGCAATCCTATAATTCTTTGGGATCTTCAACCATCATGTACTCAGTTTTAAGGCCTTCATGTAAATGATGCCTTAACAACACTAAGGCTTTTGCCTTATCTTGTTAAGTGATGGGTTTTACAACCGTCATTGCAGAAGAGGTAGCATCAGTTGTTTGACCAGAGGGACTTTTATTTTCTTTAACAGTGTGTTCCAAGCCTTGAGCTTTCAAATTCATCATTGCATCCACTTTCCATTCCAGAAATTTCTTTCCAGATAAATCTAAGATGCTGACTGTCTTTTCATAAGGTCTCCTATTTTAACTACAACAAATTACGTGATAATTAGTTTATAATGACAAATTATATGTACAACTCACATGTTTAGTTCTTCCATATTTATAATTAGGTCAATAAAACATGTGATTATTAAATTTAATAATAATAAACCATAAATAATGTAGTCTTTTCTCCCCCTTGGTTTATTATTATGAGTAATTATATGATTATGCAAAAATTAATCATGTTAGTTGCAAAAAAAACAGCAAAACGACAACAATAACAATAGTAACAATATTTATAATGATAACGGTAATATTATACAATGATGATTAATAACAACAAACAAACATAATAAAACAAAAACAAGCTTTTAATATAATAAAGCGACAAAATAAGTGAGTTTTACTTATACATAATGACAAAAATTAATATTGCTACTAATAAAATTACAAGCGTCGTAATTAGAAGGAAATATTGTTTTATCTTCATTAAATCTTCCTCAAAAGTGAAGTTGTGGGTGTTTTGGGTGTTTTGGTTGCCTTCGTCGGGGAACATATCGGAGAAGAAGGGGGTGATAAAATTTTTAGGTGATTTTTGGATAAAAAGTGGGAAGGGATAAGGGATTTGTGGTGAAATCGGGGAAAATCCGCCTTTTATAGAGGTAGGTTTATCCGTTACTGTTCTGTACAACTGTAAAAATATCATATAATAGTCTAATGTACTGGCATAAAACTATGGTATATATATATATATTTATAATTGTAAAAGGTTATCAGACTGGGAATGCAAGCCATAGTGGTCCGAGAGCCCTAATATCTATAAAAGATCATGGGTTCGAAAACGGAAAGAAACACAAAAAGTATGTAAAAGTAAGAAAAATAATAAGTATAAAAGGCTGCATCTTTAGTAATGAATTCACAAGTAAGAGAACTTTCACCGTTGTTTTTGAGGTATATATATAATACAGTAAATGTTTGAGTTTCTGGTATAGAGGATCCCAAATATGGGCAACTATAGAGCATACTCCTCGAAACATTTAGAAATAGATAGTATTATTTGTTATAAAGTTTTATAAGTAGGTATAAATATACCTGAATGGAAACTGGTGCTGATAACGTATTAAATGTTTACCGATAGAAAGTCTTTAATCAGTGAAAGGAGAAAGTGAAGGAGAAGAAGTAAAGAGGATGAGTGAAATTGTAGTATGTTATTATTATTGTCTCGTATGATATCCTATATATATATATATAGCTAATACTTCTATACTAAGAGTACAATTCAATCATGCTCAATTGCTCATATATTGCCATATAAGTTCACAAGGGTTGGACTTATATGTGCATTGCAACATCAAATCAATGATTGGCATTTACATTGTCTTCTAACATCAATCTTTCCAATTTTACTTGCGATGTCATATGTACATAATTTCACACAATTGAAAAACTTGATATACGGAGCAAAAAATAGGTGGGTGAACGTGAGACCGAACTGAAAAGAGGGAAAAAAAAAAACTTAACTTCGTATTAGATGAAAGGTGTATCAATGATAGAAAATGGGGCTCCCTTGTTAATAACTTGTTAATAAATGAGTTGTGCATCCTAAGTGGTTTAATTGGGGTGACATTTTGATAATAAACTGAAAAAAAGTGTAAATCATAAATAAATATTTTTATGTTAGAAAATAAGGTGAATGCCAAATTACCAATCATTGATTTGATTTTACAATGTCCATATAAGTCCAAAGACTTGTGAACTTATATGACAATATATTAGTATGATTGTACTCTTAGTATAGGATTCTTGGCTATATATTTATATATATGTAGGATGTTATGCAAGCAAATATTACGATGCAATACTACTACTACACTACAATTTCACTAATCCCTTTTTACTCCTTCTTTACTTATCCTTTCACAAATTAAAAGACTTTCTATTAGTAAACATTTAACATTTTAAAATTTAAAAAAATGCAAATAAAAAAAAAATCATCTAAATGACCGTTATGATAGAGTTCACAAGAAGCTTCAATATAGAAAGTAGAATGCTTCATCTTGTTCCTCTTTCCAGTGATCTATACACACCTTCATCTCTTTCTCATTCCTCCGCAACCATTTGAACAAAAACCTTAAGAACAAATGCAGAAATGAATGACATAGTTGGGGACTATTCCGATTTACTGAAAACATCTGAACTGAACTGATTGGGGTTGAACTGAATTGAACTGAATAGAGCTGAAATGAATTGTTTATTAGAGGAAATGAATAACTGAACTAAACTTAACTGATTGGAGCTGAATTACACTGAATTGAACTGCAATTAAGCTGAACTGAACATTCCCGCCCTTAAACCCAAAGGATAAGGATGTCATCCTCTTCCATTAGTTATCCTGTTGAAGCCTGGTCGTGAACTCCATTGAGGCTTCTCATAAGGTCTGTCGAGTGCTCCGTCTAAACCTTAGTCTTCATCATTTTCTTAGTTTTATGTAATTTTTTTAAATTAACCTTGTTTTTGCGGAGGAAATTACAAGGTGGTCAAGAATTAACATCGAACATTTATCTAGGTGAATAGGCAATTAACTTGTATTTTCTCGTAGTATTGGGAAAAGCCGTAAGCACAACAAGGTTCCAAACCTTTAATCATTGATACCAAACGTAAAGAATAGTAAAGAATAATAAGGCAGACGGGGTATTGGAGACTTGGAGGAGTAGAACTAATTTGACACTTTGACCATGAGTGTCCCACTCTAAATTAACTAAATTAAATTAAATTAAATAAATTAATAAAATAATAAAATAATAACCACACGTTTTTAATAAAAACCTCATAATTCCGGAAGTATTCCTAATTTGCCCCTCAATACTCAATACCCCTCATCGCCGCCGTACTCACTCTCACTTTCTACTTGAACACTTCATGCACCCCATTTTCTTCCTCTGTCTTTGAACTTTTCCATTTCCAATCAACTATCAATCAATCAATTATTCCCCCCAATTTCTTCATCAAATTCAATCCAAAACCCTACATTAATTCCCAAAATCATCCATCATACTCAACCCAAATTCTCAAGCAGCCATGTCAGCTACTTCATTGGGCTCCACTCTTCCATATCTCCCCAACAATGCAATCAATCAATGGGGTTCCAATGTCATCCTCCATTGTAGGGTTTCTGGGTTTTCTCAACCCAGACCATCTTTCTCTCTTAAATTCGTGAATTCGGCCAATTGGAGGAGAGAGAAAGTTGGGTTTATCGTCAATTCGTATAACTCGGAATCTACTGTCACGATTCCAGATGATGATGTTCGGGTTTTAGATGAAAATGTTTCGGCTCGGCTTGATGATGGTGGTTCTGACAATGGTAATGGGAAGTTACCGCCTGACAATGGCGGAAATGGCGAAGGTGGTGGCGGAGCAGACGACGGAAATGGTGATGATGGGGAAGAGAAGGAGTTTGGCTCGATTTTGAAATTCGAGGAAGTGATGAGAGAGACTGAGAAATATGGGGCGACTCTTCCGAATGATATTCTTGAAGCTGCTAAAACTACTGGGATTAGAGAATTGATTTTGATGCGGTATTTGGAGTTGCAGGTGATTTGTTCTTGATTATTTTAATACGAATTCAAGTAATTTTTAATACTTCCTCCGTTTTTTTTTAATTGCAATGTTCGGACTTGTACCCTGTCAAATAGACATGTTTGATTGGTTTGGAATATTTGATATATATTAAAAATATCAACTTATGAAGATTCAAACTAGGAAAATGATAAACATGGGCTATGTGTAAGAAGGTCAAAAAGGAAATATTGAGGAAAGATTATGCTAGTGATTTTGTCGTGAATTCCTAACTTAATTTCATTTTGGGAAGTATATTAGATGCTTATACATAGCTCTAAGGGCTACATATATCATTACCCTTCAAACTCTAACATGATTAAAGATGTTAATGGTGTAAAATGTGCATTGGCAAAATGTGGAAAATGGACTATTAGAGTAGTATACTATTTGTTTTAATTGATTTGTATTCTTGTATTATTATTTCATTTTTCTAATAATGTATTGGGGATTGATTAATTGTAGGGAACAGCTGGGCCGCTAGGATTTTTGATGAGACATTGTGCTATGCTCCGAAATCGAATGTTGGCTGATCCTGCGTTCTTATTTAAAATTGGGACTGAGGTAAGTTAGTGTTCTCCATTTAGTTGCTACGATTAAAGGTGTTGAAATGATGTTGATGAGCTTGTTGAGGTTAAAGGAAGTATGGATATGTGAAAAGTAGGAATTACTCGAAATGATGCGCTGTGCATATTCTCTCTACTTTGAAAATGTTGGTAATGCACATGACAATGAATGTTTGTAATCATTGTATTGGTGTATAAGAATAGACTTGTACTATTGCATTAAAATTTTTCATTGGCAATGACAGCTAACAATATTGCATTAATATTTAATGACAAATAACAAAATCTTCTTAAATAGTCAATTTATTTTGAAATGGCAACTGATACATGAACGTGTTGAGAGATAATTCTGACCAGGCTGGTTTATGATGATGGTGACTACCTGCTTAATAGCTGATTGTTAATAATGCTTGAATCTGATTATGCTATATGAAATTGATAAAAGCTTATGACATGTATTATGCCATGTCTGTTGGAACCATGCAGATTGTAATTGATTCCTGTTGTGCAACATTTGCGGAAGTTCAGAAAAGGGGAAAAGATTTTTGGACGGAATTTGAACTTTATCTTGCTGATCTTCTTGTCGGTGTGGTTGTAAATGTGGCCTTAGTTGGCATGTTAGCGCCATATGTCCGTATTGGGAATCGATCTACATCTGCTGTCGGTTTTCTTGGAGGCATCAGACGTGCTTGTAATGAACTTCCCAGTAGGTTAGTGGAGTTTCCTGAGATCTTAGGATATAGGGCGCTGCATTTATTTTTAAATGTTCTGAATTCTAATTATTCTGTATAGATTATCTGCTTAAGTTAAATTTAAAGTTTAGAATCACTGAAATTGAGCCTGTCTAGTATGCTTTTGTGCTGCTATTACAAGACGTGGATCTACTATGCTTTTGTGCTGTATCGGTTGGGATGGAACAACAGGTGTTTACAAAAACTAATTAATTTACTTAATCTTGGCTTTGTAGCGTCTTTGAAGCTGAAAGGCCAGGAAGTCGATTTTCAGTGAAACAGCGAATGGCTTCATATCTTTACACGGTATTGGGACTACATATGTGTCTAATTATAGTTTCTGTTATCCTCGATGATTGTCATGACTTGCATCAATTCTGACTATTATAATAAATGCCAAGGTTTAATATTTAAACATGTATGTCTTGTACTTGTCATTCCAGAAGTCCTTGCAGAAGTTTGCAAGGACTAAATTATGCACCCTGCATGACTGAAATAGTGATATGGCTTTCAATATACTTCGTATATCTTTTGGCTGTTTGGGCCTTTGCTTCACTAGTTTAATTATTAGTTGACATTTGAGAATTGAATCCTCTAAAGTTCTATATACATACTCTTAATAGTCCTAAACAGTTTCTTAGAGTTCAAGTTTCTTATGGGCTGTTTTCAATGTGCATTTGGGCTTATTTTTAGGTTTTTCTGAGAAGAAGTTGTGCTGATCTTATTATTTCTTATTATTGGGACTTAGGCTTTGTTGTTGTCAAGCTTCAATTATTATTGTAATAGGGTGTCTGCTCTGCAAAATGGAATTACATTGATAGTTGCAAATTTGCTATGTAATAGGCCAAATAGGGTGTCTGCTCTGCTTTTTAGTGTTCATAATGTTCCTTGCAGCTTTTGCAATACGAAGTATAATTTATTAAATTGTCCTTACAGGGAGTACTGCAAGGGGGAGTTGGATTTGGATGTGGCATTGTTGGCCAAGGTATTGCAAATCTGATCATGACTGCTAAAAGGTAAGCGTTCTAACAAACTATTAAGTATTAACATTCTATAATATGATCAAGTGCACTTTTCATGTATCATTGCTACATCTTGGATTGCAGATATAAGTCAATTAGTTCGTTGTAAATGCATTTTGTTAGCATTTGAATTGATGAATGATTGTGATGCTCGTTGAAATGTTGGAAACATATGTTATTAAAACTAGTTGGTCTTTGTTCAAAGCTACTTGGGTTCAGACTTAAACTTTGGTATTACAAAGTTTGAAGAAGGTTGAGGCACTTCATAAGATTCTGTCATTCATGAAAATAATTATCCAAGCATATGTCTAGGCTGGTGGTGAAATGTTGGTTTTGTGATTCAGAACATGTGGTCTACTTGTTCACATCATGCAGTCCAAAAATATACACTGGCTTACTCTTTTTTTTTTTTTTGGCTGTGGAAAGGTAATAATTTTAGAGTTACATAAGCTTTTTACACCAAAAGAGAAAAATAAAAGAAAAGGGAACATCCTATCTGGTAGTTATGGTTGGTAAATATTACCATCTTTTTGTTCTTTTTTTATAAGTTGCAACATGTTATACACCACTTTGGAAATCATCAAAAAATCCCCCTATCTCTTACGTCCTTCAAAAAATTAATGATAATTATGTAAGAGTATGGCATTAATAATGCTAGTCTTTGCTCTCTGCGCATAATTAGTAGGTTTTACTCCCTCCGTTTTTAAATACTTGTTCCATTTCTCCATGCGCGGAGTTTTAGGAGAAATTGGAGAAAATAATAAAATATGGAGGTAGTGGGGTAGGTGAAGACTATAAAATTGTGAAAAGCAAAAGTAGTTGAGAGAATTAGAGGAGAGAGAATATGAAATTAATAATATATGATTTATGGTGGGTCCACTAGGTGAGAGAAATGAATTAAATATCATAAAAACTTTTCAAATAAGGAAATGAAACAATTATTTAAAAATAGTCGGAAATGGAAAGTGGAGCAAGTATTAAAAAAACGGAGGGAGTATATGATAGCTAAATTGAAAACATCTAACTTGTGTGTGGGTGTGAAAAACGAAGAGACGTGAACCATTGAGGTTTCATGGGGGAAGGTTAGCTCCCTCTAATTTATTTAAATCTGCAAAAGTTGATGCCTCCAGAAGGGGGGAATAAAACTGAAAAGTTGATGTATAAAAGTAAAGAAAGTTTGATTCCAGCTCAAACTTGTGAAGTTCTTTGTCCAAACACCAATGCAGTTACTCCATGCATACAAGGCCATACCAACTTTTAAGGTTCACCTGAATGAAGTCGAACTCTTAACATATGATGAGATTTCTCAATCCAGGACTAATTAACTGTAAGATTTCTGCCAACCTAAGGTTAAGACGTCAAACCAGGACTAAGTAACTGAATTTTCTTGCTAGAAAACCTTCATTATTTCATAAGCTGCTGGATGTGTTACCTATAGTTTGGCTTAGATTTGTATAGATTATTCTGGTGCAATGACTGCAATCTTTCAATTGTTATACTAGTAATTACCCTGAATTGATGTTCTTGTTATAGTACTCCTTTTTGGTGAGATTGAAACTTTTTTAACATCCTTCTGTTGTTTTTTTTGTGTAATAGGAGCATAAAGAAGTCTGATGAAGATATACCAGTCCCACCTCTAATAAAAAGTGCATTACTCTGGGGTATGTATGATATTCTTCATTAATTTCTTCAGTTTTAGAGGACTTTCATACATTATCATTTTTTAATTGTTGAAATATATGCATTTATAGATTAGTGACCAGTGAATGAATATCTACTCAATTTTCATCAAGAAATGTTTATAATTTTAACCTTCTAGTTGCAACATCTGATTCCTTTTCCACCTCTTACAAATAGTAGGTCAATTTTTTTCTTATTTAGTGGTTGAACATTTTAGCTTTTGTTAAAAATCCAAATTGTTATCCTTGTGTTGTTTCTTATAAATTTAATCAATGGAATGAATATGAAGATATGAAGCATCTAAAAAATTATCCAAATATTGAGCTGTCTAACTTAAGACATGATTCTCTGCATGCACATGACTTGTTTCATTTTTTCCTTAATATTCTTCTCTGCACTGTATTTGGGAATCTGCGTTGCTGCATCTTTTGGCCATGCTGATACTAGGTTTAAATGGCTGTTTGTGCATTTTCAACAGGTGCATTCCTCGCCATTTCATCCAATACTCGTTACCAAGTTATTAATGGACTGGAACGTGTGGTTGAGACATCCCCGTTGGCCAAGAATTTTCCACCAGTTGCTTTGGCTTTCACCGTTGGTGTGCGATTTGCCAACAATGTCTACGGTGGTATGCAGTTTGTTGATTGGGCTAGGTGGAGCGGTGTACAGTAGATTTTCCCTTTCATCATATGGGCATTCTCTCAACCCATCCCAGCCCATGCCCTGCCCCCTTTCCTCCAGATTTGACGACACTACTACTTGAAGCCTGGGCATCATTCCTCTGCACATGTACACTCAGCTTTGGTAATGCTACTTATATTGCTGATCACATTGTACAAGAGCTTGTAACACCCACTGGGCAAAATTCTCATGCAATGCCGTAATCCAAATGGTGAGATGCTCATTCTTTCACCGAGTTTCTCCCAATAAGAAATCTGCTTTGTAGCTAAGAAACAGGCAACATCAGCCTTATCTTTGAGCTGTATTATATTCAAGCCTATTAGATGTTCAAAGTTTGAGCTTCTTGAATGTATCGAGATCTAGGGCTCTATCTATATTTAAGAGTACTGGCTTCCTAGTTATGAACTTCATTACTCCGTAGTGATTAGTTGAACCAGTTAGCAATAAATAAGGAAGCTTAGATACCAGCTCCTTTTTTTTTAAAGTTCATTGCACTTATTATTTACTTCCTCTGTTTTTTAATTGCAACATAAGAGAGTTGCATGGTATTTTAGGAGAGGAAAGGAGAGATAGAAAGAGAAAAAAAATAAGAATAAAAGGTGAACCATAGGAGAGAGAGAACATTATTGTTGATTGTCCAAATAAAGCAATGTTGCAATTCATTTATAACTTTTTTGAAAGAAATATATTGCGATTAATAAAGAACGGAGGAAGTATATGTTCAAAGTTATAATATTTTGTTCATGTATCTTAATTCATTTATAAGAAAAAACTACTCTACCCGTCCTCAAATATAGCTTATTTAATTTATAATACCGTTACATTTCACAAGTAATATTCTTTTGTAATTAGGCATAGTCGATTGGGCCATAGGGCTCGAACAACTCGGCCCAAAATCCGTTTTTTCTGTTTGGGTTTAAGCCCATGTCCTTGCAAAGTTGATCATAATACCAAGTATGCAATGCTCCCATACAAGATCTTCTGAAGTACTCCGTAGCTGCCAGAGTATCTCTTCATGAAGTTGTTCCATTCTAACACATCTTTCTCCATGTCCCGAATGCTCGGCAATCTGAATTTCCCATCAAGTAGCTCAAATAACCAACGGCATCTCATTTCTGAAGTGAACAAGTTTCCGGCACTCTCCGAAAACCCAATCACTGCTACCTGTGGAATCCGTGGATGAACACATTCCCTACAAATATTATTTAGCATTGTTAATAACTAGCATTGAGACACTAGTCTAATTCGTTTTAGATGGTATTATATCTTCATTCTTAACAAAACATTAGACATTCACTATATTGTTTATTTTTATGTGGAATTGTTCACAAGATGTATACCTATAATCGCCATGTATAATACTTTCTCTGTTTCTTTTTAGATACTCCATATCACTTTCTAAATAAAGATGTTTCAATTTAGATGCATCACTTTCCTTTAAAAAAATAAAATAAATAATTTTCTTCTCTCTCCTACCACATTTATTTATTATTTTATCGAGGAGACCCAATTTAATTTTTTTCTCTCTACCTCTTTCAACTCCAAAAATTGATTAGAAGTCCGTGAAAACTAAAATGATGCAACTAAATAAAAACGGAGGAAGTATATATAATGTACTCGTACTGATAACAGACCTGTACAAAGGAATTGTATTGGAAGGGGAACCAAATATATAATCTTGAAATATGGGAGATGCAAATATGTCTTTGAGCTTTTGATCCCCTTTGAATCCAGTAGCAAAAATAACCAAATCACATTTAATATGAGTAGCTTCTTCCATCTGAACAAGAGTATTAGTACTATTCTCAAGTAAAATACCCTCTTTGTAGAAACTAAAAGTTTTTGATCTTTTCAAAATGATGCTTCCATTCTCAACTTCATCATAGAATCCGGCTGGGACGGTCGCCACCGAACAAGAGTTCATCTCTTGTAGGAAGCTATGGTCTGGCACCATGCCATATTTCTTCATGGGATGCATTTTCTTAAGGTCATTCTCCACAAATTTACTAATACCCCATCTCTGCTTGTAAGGAAAAAAAAATTATTTATAATTAAAGAAAAATTGTCAAAAATAATACAAACTTTGAACGGTCCACCCAAAATAAGTCAATCTTTTAATTATTTTTAAATAATACAAACTTTATGCAGTGTCCGCTTTAATTTTAACTAGTTTAGTGCCCCGTGCGATGCCCGGGTTGTTTATTGAATTTTAGGATAAATTTATAATCTATACGACGTTAAAATTTAAAATATATCATTGCTACAAAATTAGTTAGGAGTTTATGTGATTTTCTGACGATTTGCTATCTAGTAAGCATGTAATGACTAATAATAATGTTGGTGAAAATGTTTGCTTTCATACATTAAAAAATAATTAAAAAAAATTAGCAAAAAATAAACTAAATAAAATAAATGTTCAAAGTATGTCGGATTGACCCGAACCCAAAACTTTGGGCAAGGGATGAAGATTTCTTGACTCATAACCTGAAGTGACCAAATTCGAGATGTTTCATGATCCAACCCTAATTGACATGTATCCATTCTATTAGATTGTGAAGTGTATAATTTTAACTGATTAGTATGTATTATAAATAGATGTTTTACGCTTTAAACTACTTCCTTCGCTCCAAAAAAATTATGATATAAAAAAAAATTTATATGATAATTTTTGAGAATTATAATCTAATAATTTTTTTTGGATAAAATTATAATTCAATTTGTACATCGAAAATATTGATATTTTATTGATAATAAAACTCTAAATTAACAATTTTATCCTAAAATTCTATCCAAATAGAATTATAAACCAACTTCTATTTAAATCTATCCAATGTGGCGCGACACTTGGCGAAAAGTTAGAACACCAAGTGACGCAATGTCATGACCTGGCTAAAAGTTTAGCTTTATATATTAGTTATATGATTATTAAATTTTTGAGCCCTTTCCCTAAATAATATTGGGAAATTATCTAATTCCCAAATTACAGCTAGTCTTTTTCTAATTCCCATCATACCGTCCACGTCACCGGTTCAGTGGGATTTTTTTTTTAAAAAACGGGTTTATTAGAAAACCGCTACTTCAGGGCTTGTTTGGCATCATTTTTGGTTTTCAGTTTCCTGTTTTTTTGAAAACTAAAAACCAAAAACAGGAAACAGGAAACAAGAAAAAGGTGTTTCCACTTTTCTGTTGTCAGTTTTCAAAATTATCATGATTTTAATAAGTCTAAATATTTTTTGATTCATTATGTGACATATATAATATACTTTTAAAAAACAAAAAACCAAAAAACAGAGAACCACAGCAATGCCAAACGAACCCTCAAGTAGCGGTGTGCTACTGAAAACCGCTACTTCAAGTAGCGATTTACATATTAGAAACCGCTACTTGAAGTAGCGGTTTGTATTTACTAATTAGTTTTTTTTAATAAAATCACTTCTTCCCTTTCCATTGTAAAGGAATTCAGCAGAATCATCCAAAAAGAAAAAAAAAAATCGAACGATACTCCTCAAGTAGCCTTCCAATGCAGCAATCCCTCGCGCTGGAAGCCGTTTTCGCCACCATCGACGCCTTCCTACGGTTGTTTGCCGACAATGATTGCTGTGAGAATATAACCAGAAACGAGGATATATCAAAGGATTTGTGATTGCCGACACCGATTGCACGCCAAATTGCACCGATTATCAAAGGTTTATGGAACTTGGGGATACAACTATTCAAGTACTTGAAGGTTTAATTTTGACTGATTTACAGATATTTTGTTTTTAAAGAAAAACTTACAAAACAAACCCATAAACCGCTACTTGAAGTAGCGATTTACAAAATTAAATTAAAACCGCTACTTGAAGTAGCGGTTTGTTGCTGGACCGAGAAAAAAAAAAGGGTTTGTTTTCCTTAGCTGATGTGGACGGTATAATGGGAATTAAAAATAGAGTAGCTGTAATTTGGGAATTAGATAATTTCCCAACATTATTTAGGGAAAGGGCTCTAATTTTTTGTTATAATTTTTAAAAGATATAGATAATATTTATTATTGTTGTTGTTATTATTATTATTATTATTATTATTATTATTATTATTATATATATATATATATATATATATATATATATATATATATATATATATATATATATATATATATATATATATATACTTATATATACTTCCTCCGTCCTTTTATTATTGCATCACTTGCCTTTTTAGGAAGTTTCACAAATATTGCACCATTTCCTCTTTAGGAAAAAAATTATTTGTGTTCACACTACAAATACCCAATATACCCTTGCTTTTTCACACTTACTTTTTAGTTTATCAATATGTCACATGGGCAATTTTGTATTTTTACCTTTCTCTCTCTTACTTTTTTCCGAGGAAGTCCCAGTTAATCAATTTGATAAACAAAATGTGTTTATCAAATGGCAAAATGGTAAATAAAACAACATAAATGCTTAGTGATCATGGCATTTTCGTAAATATATCAACAACAGTGGGACCCATATTTAATAAAAAGTTGTTGATTTATTTACAATTGTGCCATTTGATAAACAAATTTTGTTTATCAAATTGATAAACTTGAATTTTCCCCTTTTTTCCACTATCAAAATATTTGTACTCAATTCCTATGGTGCAATAATAAAAAAAACGGAGGAAGTATATAAAACCAATCCCCTTCCCTATCAGCAACCTTTCCCCGGCCCTCCAGCAACCCCACGTCTGCGCCCCACCCCCCTACCAACGCCGGCGACACCAGCCCCCTTCCCCCGCGCCGACGACACCAGCCAAAACCCTAGCAGCTTCCAACCACCACGAAACACCCACGAATCCCCTCCCCTAAAACAAACGAAAAACCCACGAATCCCCCTAACCCCTAACCGCGACTAAGGTTTTCAATGGTCGGAGAAGGAGCGTTTGGGGGTTTCGGTGGTGGGAGGAGCAGGTTTGTGGGTTTTTCGTGGGAAGGGAGAGATATTTCGGTGATGGTTTGGGGCGAGGGGAATAGGGTTTCGGTGATAGTGGTTCGAGGGAGGGGGATGGCGGTGACCGGCGACTAGGTGGGATAGCTGGGCTGGCGCCGCCGGGGATGGGGGAAGGGAATTGTGTGGTGGAGCTGTTGGTGGAGGAGGAAGGGTGGCTGGTGGTAAGACAGGGATGTGTTTTTTTTAAAATTTCTTTTTGAATTATTTTATCTGTTAATTAAGTATGATTAAATCTTTATTTAGGAGTTAATTAAATTCTTAAACGAATTATATATATATATAGTTAACCGATTATATAGGTTGTAGGTAAAATATCCGTTTAAAGCGAATAGTCCCTAAAGTTTGTATTATTTAGAAATAATTTAAAGTTTGACTTGTTTTTAGAGGACCACTCAAAGTATGACACTTGTCATGTTCCGATTAAAAAAATTTCCCGCCACTTTTTTCTTTCCATTTTTTACAAAATCTTCATTAATATTATTTTATATATCCTATGATATTTAACTTTCAATT